AACACTTGCTGTAACAAGAACCATTTGGCAGATCAATTAAAAAACAAATAACAAAATAAAATTAAAGAAACCCCAAACCCCAACAACAAAAAAGAAACTGTCAAAAAAAAAAAAGATTTATTCCGACCAGCTCTTCCTCCTTTCTAAGCTCTAGCCATGCACTTGCACACTCTCTCTCTATATTGAAGAAAACATCACTTATATATTCAAATGCATAAGAGAGACAAATGGACTTGTCTTCTGTAGCCTCTTTCAGTCTTACATTAGAGTAAATTATTTAGGGACCATTCATCTGGTAACCTTTGCAAAACTGAAGATGGCATATAGGAAGAAAAAATTCCAAGTGTTTTGCTGCCAAACTTTGGAACCAGCTGGCATGGCAACATGAGACTGCAAGAACACATATTAACTTTGAAAAATTACAGTAAATTAAACAAGGGGAGGGGTGAACCTTTTGAAATCTGTAACTCTCATTTTGTTAACAGCACAGGTTTTCTTTATTTTCTCTGCTAGGTTATGAGTCTTCTTCCAAGTTTTTGGTAAACTGTTGCCAAGAAGCCCTACAGATGTTCTAGGTTACATTTTTCCTCCAAGGGGCTTAATATGCTACTGCATCTTAAACATATCATGACCCTGTATCTCTTTTGTTACAGCAATCACACTTTGATCACTTCAGTCCATGTGAAAGTAAAAAAAAAAAGGCATCAGAATACAACAAGGATATGCCAGTAACTCACAGCAGCCAAACACCTGGTTAAGCAGAGAAGTATTCCAAGGAAACTAACTCCTGCTTTTCTGGAGAATGAAGTCTTATCACTTTTCAGTGAAGAGGGATCTCAAAAAAATAAAATAAAACCGGTATCACTTGATGTTCAAAATATAAGGAAAGAGAAAGTACTGGACCCTTTGTTTATAAATAAATGAACAGTTTTTCCAGTGTTCTCATAGTGGAGAGAAAAGCTTATTGTTTTAAAGTCTTCTTTTGTCACTAAAGAAGGGGCCATTCAAAGGACAGTTGCTCTTTCTGTCCACCAAACAGGGGATACTTTGGTCAAAAGAACACCTATAGTTAAAGCAGAGAACAAGAAGCCATTACTTTTTGAGAAAGGGGGAAAAACCTTGTCAAATCCACAGTTTTTAGTTATTGCTTTTCTTATAAGTCTGAATCTTCTTCCAGTGTTAACAGGAAATGTGACAGGGTTGGACAGAAAGAAAACACAAGAATGTATTGATTGAAGTTTTAAATAGCATGCAAAATTGAGATAAAGAGCTAAATACTGACTTAACTCTATTTCCAGTTATTTCAGTGGTAGTTTGCTCTGATCGCACTGAAGCAGAGGTGCAACACGGCGTTGTTTAAAAAACAAGTAACTGTCACCAATTGTAAAAGATCATTTCTATCCGAAAGTTAAGGGGTAATGTATTTTTCACATGAGGTCCAAACCAAGACTAAAGAGATGTTCTGATCTTAAGTGAAAGAACTATAATGCAGTACCTAGAACAAAGAACAAAAGACTTTGTTAAAAATCCACTTTGCACTGGGCTAGGTTAGTGTCCTTAAAAGATGACATACAAAACCTGGAGACCTCTACAGGAAGCCAATCCCTAAACCTTGAGTAATAACAGGTCAGCACAACTATTGAGTTGACTCATAAAACCCAACAGCCATTGAATTTTACCTTTCCTGCAGAAAAAAACCTCTTAATCTAAAACAAACACATGAACAAATACACTTAGCAGCCAACAGCACACTGTCAAGAAAATATATGGACACTGCCAAGTACTTAGAAGTGAAGAGAGACTTTACCTTAGCCCCAGGCTGTTGCCGTTCATCATCAGACCAAGTTCTCCAGGTGCTTCATCAATGGGCATGTCTTCTGAACCAGGTACATGGCCTCTAAACCTGAAAAAGCAGAGTTAGCTGGTTTTTCAGCTGGTCAAATCATCACACCAAAAATACACCACAAAAAGGGGAGTTGTGTGTCCACAAACAGGGAATGTAATGATGGTAAGTGCAGAAGCTTTCATGAGTGTCTTAACACTTTCAAATATACTTTTGTATTGGAAGGTTGACTTAGCTACAGTGCCTTCTAATGGTTTCCATTGAGAAGAAGATTAGAAAAATGTCATTTACTGATTTCCAAGGACCTGCTCCCTTAAGAAAATGGTCATAGTGTCCAACAACAAACATCCCTGTTGGGCTCAGATTACAGCTCCAGCAACACCAGAGCTCAAAGGCGTCGTGTGTAAACCACATAAAATGTAGATTTTTTTTTTTTTTGAGATGGTTGTGTCTCCTGAAACTATGGGCCTACAGATGATGACCCATTTTTAACAGATTACCCCATCTTTTTCTTTCTCTCCAATTAAGATAGAAAAGTCAACAATAGAAGTGCTTCTCCCTTTATATTTGAACAAAATTCCTGTTTCCAGGATTTACCCATATTTGTCTACTGTGGTGTGGTTTGCACCAGCAGGAGTCACTGAACTGCCCCTTTCCCTGCACATACACCATTTTTGACAGCTGAGCAATTCTTTCACACAGAGAAACATGGCAAACAAAGTACTATGCTCACTTGAGGCTAAATAGAGAAATGTGGGAAATTAAAATGCAGTTATGATGCAGCGTGGCCAAAAAAAGGATCAGTTCATACTTTCACTAAAAGAGCAGAAGAGTTAATAGCCAATAATTACAAATGGTCAGACCTTTTACTTGTCGTTCAACGACAATACTTTCACCAGCTCAGAATGGACCTTAACCAGCACTCCACCCATACGGAAGGACGGACAAAAATAAACACTATCTGGAAATTGATTTTTGTTGTATTGTTTTTTTAAACTGTCATGACGTTAAGAGATGAACTAGGTTAGAGCCTCCTGACAATGAAGCAATAAGTATTTGTGCTTAGCTAAACAAATTTTTATTGTTTGTAGGATATAAAATTACCCCCTTACCAAGTGCAAAAGTGAATTATATACCTAGAACTGAAACAGAACTGTGATACCTGAGAGATTTATCTGTAAGTATCAAACATATAATACTGAAGAGACTGAGTATTTTTTAAGAGCAAGTACACTATATTCGACTTGCTTTTTTTTCTTAGAGAGAATTTGGCAAAATGTGCTTTCACCTCCACCTCTGAAAAGAGACCACAAAAATACTGAGTCCTCAGATTGATCATATATGATTTTCTTTCGTATAATTCTTTTAGGTAACCAGAGCACTGGTTACCTAAAGTTACCTAAACCATGATGTTTTTGTTTTGTTTTAGTTTTTTTTTTTTAAGAAAATGGCTAAAATAGGCATAATGGCATTAAAAAGCACATCATTATAGATATATTTAAGGTCCTTTTTTTTCTGTGCTTATGTGCCTCAAATGCTGAAAAAAATCCATTAGGAACAAAACCACCAAAAAACTCAGTCTGTATGTCCTTCATACTCTGCTTTTTCATTAGAGGGGTGCATGCATAGAATTAAGGTATCTGATGACTAAGAATCCATCTGTTCATAGTTAATTCTCACCTGAAGTCATAATCCTTTGTTTGTGACCTCAGACATTTTCAACACACACAACTGTGATTGCCTTTAAGACAGGTATTTTTAAAGCCATATAAACACATAATTTTCAATGTAAGGCACAATCCGAAACAGAAACAAAACACCACCTAAATTACAGTATCCTCTTTTAGAGTTTTAAAAGTAAGCAGGGGGTTAGGATTAAGAAGAGAAAGTGATATATTCTCATGGTGCTTATAATACATGAGTGTAGGAAGTGGGTCACGCAATACAGACTCTCAAGGGATGCTGTCAGCTGTTGCCATATTAAAACAGTATAGAAATAAGCAACCTTGTGAAACCCTCCTATTGTATCTTCTAAAAGACTGCTAGATTTTCCCCATTTGTTTCCCTTCCTAACACTGAAATACTAGTATATAACTGAGTTATCCTGGCTAATTCTACTAGCTTTAACCAGCACCCTTTCACTGATCTTCTCCACTCTAGTAACATGATACCAATAAACCAGTTTCTGCCTCTTTCCCAGAGGCCCCATTTACATTGTCAGGAAGGTGTTACCTCACCTTTGGCAACAAACTCACAGGTCTTTCAAGCCACATTCCATATTTCTGTGGTTATTACCTTTCCCTTCTTCTAGCTTTAAGTATGTATTGTGCCTCAGTCTTGGTTTTCTCCCTTCCACAAACACCACTGGAAAGAAAATGTCCTTGCTACACAGGGCTCCCTTCCTTTTCCATACACATTAAAAAAAAGATATATTTCATACAGAGAGAGAGAGAGAGATATAAAAAATTATCTCAATCTTTTCTGTAAAACCCACTTCTTCCAGTCCTTACCTAGGAAGGTGCAATACTTCAAAACTGACCCCTCCAAGGAAAGAAGGGGGAATGCTGCACCTATGTCATCCATACTCACATTGCTCTCTTGCCAAAGGTCTGTATTCCTTCAAATTCCTGCACTAAGATCAACCACTCGCTTTCTTCTACTGCCCCTCTTCTCCTAACTAGTCCATTAGCACTGCTTTTCTTGTGCCTTTCTTTCTACCACATACTGTTTTCCTCTGCTGCTTTCCACAGCTGTCATGCTGTTTCCCAACAGTATATGCTAATATACTAAAAAGTCTCCTCTCCTCTAAATCACTGTTAGAATTTGTGCCACAGGTTTGCCTATCATATTTTATCAGTTCCATTCTCCCACTTCAATTAACTATCGCCCATATGTTCATTAGAAATTTTAGAATTTTTTTTTTAATTATAAATCTCAAAATCACCTGTTATAATCCATTCGGGATTGGTGTAACTGCTGTTGTTTTAGGAGCAGTTTTGCTTCTTGCTTAGCCAACAAGTGTTGGAGTCGTTCCTTTTCAATTTCCAGCTCCATTTTCTGCAGAAGCAGCTTCTGCCTTCTTCCTTCGTACAGCCTTTTAGCCTGCTCTGTTTCTTTAGGCCCTGAGTCTGCACTGTCATTCAGCCCAGAAACTCGAGAGCGCCTAGAATAATCACAGGTTTTGTGAACTGCCCTGGAGTGACTTCTAAGCACCTGGCTGATATGGTGGATCTCCTGCACACTCCCTGAGCTCCCTACATGTCTGCAGGCACAACCGTGACTCACTTGCTGAAGGCATGTGCTCTGAAATTCATTTGCTTTCTGGTCCATCTCCTGAGCTGGTTTTAAATGGTGAGGGCTCCTCTGCTTGGCTGGTGAAATCATGTTGTTACACTTTCTGTGCAAGCCATTTTCTACTGGATATTCCTTCAGACATTCCTGATGGTTGTAATGGAATTCAGTCCTGTAATCGTGATTATTCCTACACGGCTGAGACAATGCAACACAGGCTGGGCTTCCAGCCTTTGATGCTCTACTGTTCTTATAAAAAGTTTGAGGTCCCCCAATACCCAGATAGGAACCATCCAGCTCCAGAGACGGTTGTTGGCATGAGCTCTTCTTACTGGATACCTGCAATAAGATAAATGATTTCCTGTGAATTACCAAAATTTAACTTTCCTCATTAATTTCACTTAGTAAATGTGTTCTCTCCAAAATAGACTTGCTGTATCATGCTGATGGACA